GGGAAGCAGTCGCATAGCACAGGGAGATCAGCTCAGTGCTTTGTGACTGCTTCCCACTAGCTATCTATTTTACGTTTGGTAGTGTATATATGTCAGTGTTACTCTTTCACTTCGTCCCAGCTTACCCTTCCCCCTCCCCGTGTCCTCAAGTCCATTCTCTACATCTGCATCTTTATTCCTGTCCTGCCCCTAGGTTCATCAGACCTTTTTTTTTTTTTTTTAGATTCCATATATATGTGTTAGCATATGGTATTTGTTTTACTCTTTCTGACTTACTTCACTCTGTATGACAGACTCTAGGTCCAACCACCTCAGTACAAATAGTTCAATTTCGTTTCTTTTTATGGCTAATGTTCCATTGTGTATATGTGCCACATCTTCTTTCTCCATTCATAAAAGATATACATTTTTTTACACCCCTCCCGAAACTTTTGTGTTTTTAATGTCACATTTTACATCTTCATGTTTATCCCTTAACTGTTTATTGTAGTTATAGTTGCTTTTACAATTTTTTGTCTTTTAATATTTGTACTGGCTTATTTAAGTGGTAGATCCTTAGTCCTTAGTATATATTTGCCTTTTCTTTTTGGATTTTCCATTTCTTATGGATTCTTACTTTTTTCCACTTAGAGAAGACCCTTTAACATTTCCTTTATGGTAGGTTTAGTATTGATGAACTCTTTTAGTTTTTGCTTTTCCAAGAAGTTTTTACCTCTCCTTGGATTCTAAATGACAGTCTTGCTGGGTAGTATCCTGGGTTGCAGGTTTTTCCCTTTCAGCACTTTGAATATATCATGCCACTCCCTTCTGACCTGCAGAATTTCTGCAGAAAAATCAGCTGATAGCCTTATGGGGGTTCCCTTGTATATGGCTCTGTTTTTATCTTGCTGCCTTTAAAATTCTCTTTATCTTTAAGCTTTACCATTTTAATTATGATATGTCTGTCTGGGTTTATACTGTTTGGGACCCTCTGTGCTTCCTGTACCTGGACATTTGTTTCCTTTTTCACTGGTTTGGGAAGTCTTTAGCCATAATTTTCTCACATACATTTTCAATTCCCTTCTCTCTCTCTTCTTCTGGGGCCCCTATAATTTGAATACTGGTACACTTAATGTTATGTCAGAGATCTCATAAACTGTTGTCATTTTTTTAAATTTGTTTTTCTTTTTGCTTTTCTGATTGGGTGGTTTCCATTACTCTATTTTCGAGATCACTTATGTGTTCTTCTGTGTCACTTAGTCTGCTATTCATTCCTTCTACTGTGTTTTTTATTTCAGTTATTGAATTCATTATTTCTGATTGGGGTTTTTAAAATATTTTCTTGTTCCTTGTTAACATTCTCACTCTGTTCATTTATTCTTTTCCCTAATTCAATTAACATTCTTATTAGCAATGCTTTGAATTCTTTATCTGGTAAGTTATTTATTTCTGTTTAATTATGTATTTTCAGTGGTTTTCTCTTGCTGTTTCAGCTGAGAGTAGCTCCTCTGCCTTATTAGTTTGCTTAACTTTCTTTGCCTCTATGGATTTAAATGAAACAGTTGTCTATTCCAGTCTGGAAGGGGTGTTCATATTATAGACTGTATGTGCCTAATGCCTTTGGTGGGAGAGCAGATTTGATGTGGACATAAGCCAAGTCTTTCCTCAGGATGTGCTGTTAGCTATCACCTTGGTAGGACATGAGGCTGAAGATGGAGGGGCTAGAGTTGTAGCTGGGTGTGGGGTGGGACTTCCCTTCTGCTCAGTGGCCATCACTGCCCTCCAAGTTGCTGGAGTAGAAGCCCTGAGGGTTGGGCTTGATCTGGCTCTGTTCCCTTTAAGTGTCTGCTTTCCCCTTTTCTAGCACTGGGACCTTTGCCCCAGAGCTGGGGATTGCTGAGGCAAGGGAGGCCCGTGTGGAGTCTCGGCTCATTTTTGCCACAGACAGATGTCTGAGCTGTCTCCGATGTGCTGCCAGTACAGGTGCCAGCAGTTGTTTCCCTCGACCTGCTCAGATGCAGCCTCGGGTCCAAGTCCCCTTTGTCCCTCACTGCTAATCACTTCCCCCAGTCTCTGCCATCCCTGCGCTTTTGTGGAGCTGCACTGCAGGGCAGGCGGGGCCGGTGTGGACTCTCTTTGTGTATTAGGGTAAGCTGTGGTGGAGTGGCCATCATCAGAGTTCTGGGCTGCTTCTGATATGACGTTTGAGTAAGTGCCAACACTGGCTACTGCCGCCTCACCCAGGCTCTGCCCTGGGACTGGGTCATCTCTGCATCCCACAACCAAGTTTTTTTCTCTGGTTGTGGCAGCCCTAGATTCCATACCACACTGCGACGTGGAGTAAGCTTTGTTGGAGCATGCACCGAGGCAGTTGTGGGAAACTTGGCAGCCACTGGAGCAGTCCTCTCACCACCCTCTCTGCCCTGCCCCAGGAGCAAGCCAGTGCACAAGCCCTCGTGCACATGCATGTTCCTCAGGAGCGGGGTCCGGGCTTCCCCCAGCCCTCCTGTTAGTCCCAGTGGTCCGTCAAGCAGCCAAGGGGGCTTGTCTTCCCTGTGCAGGATGCCAGGACTGGGGCTTCCAATTGTGGTTCTCACTGCTCACTCCCCAAGGCGGGCGTCTGTTCATGTGTTCTCCCTTTTCCTCTGAGTCCCCTCCCAGGGGCATAGGTCCTGACCTGATTGCTTTTCTTCCCTTCCTACCCAATTCCATATGTATCTTTCTTATAGCGTTGGTTGTACAGGAGTCTTTCTGCCAGTTTCCAGTTAGTTTTCAATGAGAATTGTTCCATATGTAGATATATTTTTGATGTGTTCATGGGGGGAGGTGACTTCCATGTCTTCCTATTCTACCGTCTTGATTGATCTCCTTTTTAACAATAGTTTTGACCATGTAAAATCACAATGGCTAATAAGAATGAATAACAAATTTGTAAAAAACCTCAAGCTCTCATTTTGAAAGTAAATGACTATTCTTTTGGCAGCAATGAGTAGTTGGAGGCTAAATGTCTTATGTTTTCACATTATCTGCTTGCAGTGTGCCACCAGTACTTTAGCTGTCTAGTAAAATGTAGAATATATTTGTGTGTCCTAGTGTTTAATGTCATGGCATTACAGTGATAGCAGTAGCTAATAAATAACGGGATATAATCAAATGAACCTGTTTGGAAGGAGGTACAGAGGGGATTAGAATTTGTATTAGGCAATATCGATTTGTGATTATGTAGCGGAAAAAAAAAGCTGTTACCATTTTTGACCTCTGTATTGCAACAGAAATATGACACAGGTATTTCATACTATTTGTTATTCTAGAAAGTAAAAAAGTATCGGAGACAGATCTATTCCTTTCTCTATTAGCATACAAAATCTAACGTTTATCTTTGGAGGCATGGAACTTGAAAAATTTGTATAACTATTTTCCCACTATTCAACCCCACTCCATTATAGCCACAGGCCTCTTCTGTACGTCATCTTATCTTCCAACATAGGAGATAATGTGGAGCATTATATAACATTTCTCGTCATGTCAGTTGCAGCACAACTGAACATAAGCCCAAGCCAGCCAAGATAGGGGATTACATCTCAGTTATTTTCTGGAACTGAGTTTTGGAGGGACTGCTAAACCAGTATGAGACAGTGTATACTGAATACTAATTGAACTCAGATTCCTGGAAAATTGAGGCTAATGGCTCAATGTACTCAGTGAAAGGGGGGAATACACATAGGCACATTTTGGGGTGCTGGGGCATTTCACAAGCAGAACATTTATCATTACTTGCTTAACCAATATTTACAAATGCAGAGGGTCGCTCTTACATAAAAAGAGATTATGTAGCCATTATGATTTCTTATTCAGGGTGCTACAAAATGTCCTTCTGTCCCCAGTATCCACTCCACACTTCTCTGTCAACCTGCCACAGTAGCCAGAATTTTCACCATCTTCAGTGAGTCCACTGTTCTCTAGGTAACTGTGTCACTCAAAATAGTAGTGTTATTAGCCATGAAGGTAAATTAAGGCATAGGAAACACCCGTGTGTCTGATTTGACGCACCCTCATACTGCACCTTTATTTCTTATGCATACTCATCGCATATGGCTTTTCTGTAAATTTGCAGGAGCTTAAGTCACTCTTCTGTTACTGTAAATGACTTCACTGAGCACGTGAATCACAATAGCTTCCCCAGTAACTACTTGACAATACAACGTAAGTTGCATCAGTCTTACTCCAGTTCCTGCAAGCTTCATGCCTCATAAACAACATGAGGTCAAAAGTACTCGAGGGCTTCTTAGAATTCCTGAGACATGTTTCTGCCTCCACTCATTCCTCTTCTCTCTCAACCCTGAATCTCCTTTCCCCTAATTGATCTGATTATGAAGATCCCCCATGTCCTCAGAGCTCTAACTCTCAAACTTAGCTTTCCATTCTCTTCTTACTGCATTTGCATCTCCAACAGTGCCGCAGGGTAGCAAACATTTCTGTCTTCACAGAATTCTCCAGCCCGTAAGACCTTTGACAAACCTCTCAGGTCACTTGTTGTCAAGTGAGGAGATTTCTTACCTTTGGCAGAGATGCCCTGGAGCCTGAACTCTGGGTGGTCATCGTTAAGACTGTCGTGATGCCCAGTGCAACTCTGGCAGGGGCTGCATCCATGTTTATCCAAAAAGAGACCCAGGACAAAATGACTATCAACAGACTGGGGATATACATCTGGATCAAGTAATATCCCATCTGGCGTTCCAGGTGAAACTTAACCTCGATGCAGGTAAACTTTCCTGGAAACAGGAAGTGATGATTTAAAATCCAATTTGAATTTATCTTTCCCGTTCCAGCCTCCCATTTTATTTTTATTAAAAAGGAGCATTAGCGATGGATTTGAAAGATTGCACAAAACGCCGACACTACACACCCAATTCAACTCTTTTCCAACTCAACCCGTAATGGAAATGACAGTGTGAGAACGAGTGATCTAAAGAGTCACTGGACCAAAACCATGTGGCATATTTAATTTTCAAATCTGTGCTTGTTGCAGCCTGATTATTTAGACAGAGCTTCAGAATTTTCTAGACTATCCACTGGAAAGAAAATATTCATGTTTTGTGGGGTTATTGTATGTAATATATAGGATATAACATATAACCTACAACATATATGTGTAGCATATACTACACAGCATATAATATATAACATATAATATGAAATAGTTGAAACCATTCCTTCCTAAGTAGTAAAGTTCACATGGGGCTCCTAAAGGATTTGGATAATTGTGTATCTATCTTTGTGTTACCAATAGCAAAAGAAAAATATACATTTGTAGAAACCATGAATATAATCTAGTCACTGTAAAAATTTCATAACCTCCTGGGTAATTGCTTGAGGACACGTAGAATATTCCTAGAATCTGTTTACAGTGTTGCATTGCCTATAAAAGAGTGCATATAAAGATATTAAAACTTGTAACATACTATTAAGAGACCGATGTTCCTGCCCCTTCCCACTTTCCTTCCTCTTTAATTGGCTTGGAGTTAGAAACACAGAAGGTAATTCGGCTTAGCTCACACAAATTATGAGGTAGGGTTGGGTTCTTCTTGGCCAGGAAGGACACCTTAGAGTCCAGTTTTAGTTATTTCATAGGAAGCACTGTTGACTTCTGGAACAAGTGTTCATGGACCAGAGCAGTCACTGAACAAACCATCATGTCTCGACTGCCTCTCCTTGATCAGCTGTGTGGCATCATAGACGAGGATGTTCATAGGAAAGGCTATCAGCTTTACTCGGCGGGCATAATCTTCCGGGGAACAACAGATGCCCACTTGTTGCTACTACCTCACATTCTCCCCCTGACCCATGTGTCTGTCAGCACCACAGACAATGCGTGACTTTAGAGCCAGCTGACTCCCCGCAAGCTGATTTTCATGCACGCTGTCTATAGGACTGGAGAGTACAACAGCTGTATTTCTGGGTTTGCAAAGACCTGTGTTATTATTTCTGTCTTCCACTAAGGCAGAGAGTGCAAATTGACCCGGGGAGCTAACGTCAAGAATGGATGCTGGGAATGGGCGAGAATTCATACACTTCCTGCACCATTTACAAGGTCTCATACACTTTTCCTCAGACTCATTTGATAGTAGATGGTCAGCAAGAGAGCAGCAAAAGATCCCCAAATCTCTTTCCTTCTCTCCGTCTTTTGGAAAAATTATCTGTTGGGCTCCCTGACCTGTTCGAAAGGATATAGGCATCTTATGTGTTGAGGGCATTTTGACCCAAGCCCAGGACAGTGCCTCATAGCTCCACTTTCTTGGTAAATATGCGGCAATTAAGGTGATGGGATATATACTCCAAGCAGCAGATGGAGCCCACTTGGGTTTAGCAGCTCAAAGGAAACTTACCAGTGTTGTAGTGCTTTGTGCAGTAGCCGAGCTCCTTCTCTTCTTTCAAAATGAACTGAGGCAGTGTCAATCCTTCAGCAACTTGAACTGGACCATCACTTAACCACTCAAATATCAGGTCATTCATTGTGTACCCAACTGCAGTAAACAAATCATAGTAAAAAACTGAATGCATCTTTCCAAGAAAGCTTGAAAGTCTAGCCACGTAAAGAAACAAACAAGGACATCATCTAAAGCGACATATGCTCGATCAATTCAAGAGCATTTTTTAATAAAAGAGCTGCAATCATCATGACAACTACATGTCACTGGAGCCAAAGAAATGGAAGACAACAAGCTATGTCTGAATGATTGTTTTTTCTGTGTAATGGGAGAATGGAACTTATAAAGTCCATTTTTCTTCTGCCCACTCTATCCACTAAATGTTTCTGCAGAACAAACAAGTAAACAAACAAAAATCCTTTGAAGATTGTCTTTACTTTAAAGAGCTGTGTCTGTGGATATCCATTAAGACAATGCAGTTCATGGCACCAGTCTTAGTATTTCAAATGAAAGGCATTCCGTTTTTAAAAAAAAAAAAAGAGAATGGATTTATCACAGGCCTGCTTAAAATATTTCCATTGCAAACTTGGCCCCTCTCCTAGGGTCTATTAGCTTTGTTTTGAGAAAGTTTATGTTCAAGTCATTATGGTCAATCCTCAGTTACTTTAGCAAGCGGGGAAGGCTATAGGCAGGTAACCTAAGAGGAAGCTGTGGGATATGCAAATCAAGCATATTCATTTGTGCTGGTGTCTTGCTAAAGGGGCCCACACATCACAATGATTAATATGAAGTAAAACAGATTCTCTGTTATATAAAGTCATATTGTTATATGACTTTTGAACCATCCAGAGTAAGACTGTTACCAGTTTAGTAAACCGAAGTTAGCACTTAGCCTCCAAGCTCCTGCTAACTAGGTCATTATGTCAAGGGCTTCTGGGTTTTTTACACCCCGGAAATGAAGGCTACTCTTTTTTCAGGCATCAGTTCTCCCCCTTCTTTCTTTATTTGTGATATTGGAACTCTAAAAGGAGATTGAGGAGGACAGGGGTTATTATGTGAGGTTTTGGCTGGCCAGTAACCTCAGCAAGTTTATTAAGTTTATAGATACTTATTCTTGTTTACTGCAAGGTAGTGACTCACCAAAGCTACCCAGAAATCAATGGCAAAGTTAATTGGAATCTACTTTCCTCTTTCTTTGGGCCATATTTTCCATTCAAAGCCAGAAAATAAGAACAAGCAAGGAATCACAAAGGGGACTTCGTATAAGCATTGATGATCCACAGAGAGAATGGCCAACCCTGTCTCTTCCACATCAGTGCTGCATGAGCCCTTCTTGAGTATCTCCACCAAATACTAGAAACTTGCCAAACACCCCCTGTTCTTGTCTGGCCAGCTTCTTGCTGACCACTACAATAATAGTCCCTGTCAGCCACCTGGAAACCCCAGCTGGGGGCAAACAGAAGAGGTAAAGATGTGGGGAAGGAGGACGTGATATGAGGGTAGAAAAGCAAAGAGCAGTTCCCACCCTTCACAGTCAAAGTCAGTGGTAAACACATCACTGCTTCTTTCATTTCATTACTCCTAGGTCCTGCAAGGGCCAAGCATATTTACTAATTGGAGTTTTTAAGCCTTGGAGGAGCCTCAGATGACAGCTATGGTTTCTGTTTTATAGAGAAACTAAGTGTTGGGTTGAGTCAGGGGAGAGTTGGGAGCAGTAGAGAAGTCACAGAGAAGGAATCATTATGTAGGAAAAAGTTTTTCTTAACTGTCTTCTCAAGAGAAGGGGCGATAGGGAAAATATGAATACATAAAGCCTATTATAAACCAGAAATTCTCATTTTATTCCTGACAGCTTCTTCAAACAAAGATGCTTCATTATTTTGTTTATTTTTGTAGGAAGTTTCAAGGGAAGTCTACAGTGATTTTAAATGATCAGAAGGAAACCCTGTCACCGCCTCTTTTAATAATAGTTGATATGTCTTTTTACATTTGTTATTTTTCTAAACCAAGAAGTTAAAAGTATTTTCTTGCCCCTGCCTCATTAAATCTCCTAACATCCCTGTAGGTCAGTAGCACTTATTATTCTCTGCATTTTACAAACAGAGGAACTGACAGAGCAAGCCAGGAAATATTTCATGTCTCCTGTCTAAAAATCCCATTACCTTGGAGGCATCAGCAACTTACGGCACATGTCAAAGATTTCAGTGGCGTCAGGGCCATGACATAAAGGGGACAAAGTAGTAGCATTTTCCTATTCCCTTCACCAGGCCTTTGGACATCCATTGCCCATCTAAGGGAGATGCCTTTATTCCTTATCATCTCATGCCACTCATTTTTGTTTCCTCCTCTGGCTAAGGCCCCTGCATCTTGTCCTCAAATCAATTAGCCCTTCCTGCCAAAATTCCTTTGGGGTGAAGGTCTATACAAGCATGAGATAGAAGGAGATACAAGTTTCTGACTAGAATGTGATTCATTATAGAGGTTAAATGACTAATAATCTTAATTTTCCCAGGAGACATTTTCATTTCAAAGAAAAGCTTACTAAATCAGGCTCATTTTTTGAGGAAGGGCAAGTTATTTGGCATTTTACCTTGAAAAATGGTCTCCTCTCTATTGGATATAAGACATGCACACACATTCACTTTTGCTTGTCCTTCCCTTAAGGACCTCGGGAGTTGTTAAATACGTAGAGAATGAGTCTTACGGGTTTTTTCTCCTTAATGGCACATTGAAAGAACCAGGTCATTGGTTAAAACAAGCAGGTGGTCATTTCAGTAGTAGTGACTTACAACTCTCCAGCTGCATTGTACACGTCTGGACATCCATTGGAAAATTCTTCAAGTCCATGGGACAGGATAAGGTCAAGGTGAGCCTTAGCAGAGAAAACAAATTTTTAAAACAAGTTTTTAATTTTTGAGGTCTGGTTCTTGAGAAGCAAACCAAAAACACATTTTGCATTAAGCAGAGTGACACTGATTCAAGTAATGAAGTCTCAGCTCTCACTCAGGAAAATGCTTTCTAATTTTCAAATGAACAGTAGTCATTGGTAAATTTTTAAAATACTATAGAATTTTGCTGTAACCCCTTACTCTCCATTTCCCATCTTCCAGCCTCTGAGTCTCATCTCCCCAGTGGCACTGGTCTCAAGTTTATTCTAGAATCAAGAAGAGCACTGAGAAATAGTGTAACAAGAACCGTGGGCTCTTCTTACACACACTGATGTCCAAAAGGCATAAAGTTTGTACTGCTTTAGAATTGGACAGGTGGCCTTTGCTTCAAGGACAATAAATGATGTGATAAGCATAATTGATTGTGATAAGTATTCGTTCTCCTTCCATCAGGTGGGCAAAAACTTCAATATCTTTTCATTTGCTAACTACATGGATAGGTCAGTTGTACATTGTAGCATTCATTCTAGAATTTTGACAAGTCTGGAGCGGGTAATCCTTGATCTAAAAAAAACAAAACCATTTGAGGATGGTGGCTTGTATAAATACATAGTCTTCTCTTCTCTGCACCCTGGGGGGACTACTGTGCTCCCCCTTTCCTTAACTTTCCAAGCTCCAGCCAGCTCTGATCAAGTCTTTTATCAGGATATTGATTAAGCCACCACCTCTTTTCTACTATTTCCTTTTTTAGTCCTCAAGGAAATGGTACACACCTCTTGCTCTTCAGTTTTTCTATACCTCAGAGATTCAAGGGAGGAAATTAAGGTTGAGAATCAGCAGACCTGTGTTCCCTTTCAAGTACTGCCTCCAACTGTCTCTGTCCCCAAAGCAAGACCTTAAATTCAATAAACACGCATCCTCACCAAATGATGGGGTAGGATCAAATGATGCTTATTGCCATTTAGCTCTAATACTAGAATCCTTGTTATTCTGAAGTTCACTGCTCCAACTTCTGTTCATTTTCTCTCAAACATCTTTTCTATCCATAGACCCCTCTGACTTTTACACCATTACCTAAACTCTCCCTTTCTGTCATGCTCTCCCCTCCTGGTTCCCTTCTCTTTCCTTTCTCAGCTTCATGTTATACCTTCTATACAAGCCAAGACAAAGTTAAAAAAAGAGTGGCCCAGTTACTTTAAAGAAAGAAAAGATTTGGGATTTGAAGTGAGGTTAGACAAAGAATCCATGCTGACAGTCTTCAAAATCATCAAAATACAACAGTGACTGGGAAAAGCAAGATACAAAACAGTGCAGTATAATCTCAATTATGTAAATATGTTTTCAATATTGGAAGTAAACACAACACTATATTAAGAGCAGATAGTTCTGGTTGGTGGGATGATTCATATTTTTTTTTACTCTGTTCATTCTGCATTATTTATATTGACAAGTGTAGGCTAATCTAAGATGTCCGTCTTTATGTAATTAAACATGCCTTTCTTTAAACAATAGCTGAAGGGTAAAATTATTAAATTATGTTTTATTCAATAATGTTTTGCTATATTATAATTATATTATTATTAAAATTTTGCCACAAACATACAGTATTTCATTGCTAAATAAATTACCTACCTTCTCTGAGCTATTCTGAGAACACAAATACCATGTTTCTAAAGGAAAAACAATAGTTTTGGGTTCTAAACTTCTGAGTTAAAACAACATTTTAGACAGGAAAAATAATTTTTGTCAGTTGTGGAGTTCATTTAGAGATAGCAGTATAAATATAGTTAAAGATATTTACATTTCTTCCCAGCATAAAGACTTTTTTTTGAGATTTTATTTTATTGAGATCAATGCCATGAACTCTTTAAAGTAAGGGAAGAGTAAAAGAATCAAAATGAAAATCTCTAGTAATCAAAAAATTTTTTAAATTTGACACTTTATTAAGGGAGGGGAATCTCAAAAGGATCTGTGGGTTTAAAACTGTTACTAACACAGTAAGAATCTACTTATTCTTTTCTATTTTTTTAAAGAGGAAATACATCAAACAAAAATATGTCCATCATATAAAAATAATCAGAGGGCATGTGTATAGTTTAAGTGAATCAAAACTAGAAAATCTGGAAATTTCATTATGATTTTGAAAAGTTTACTTTTGAGAAATTAGAAAATAATAATAGCAAAAATGAATACAGCTTAAAAACATGCAACAGGAAATTCAGTTGTATTTTGTTTGCTATGGGAAACAACGCAATTTTAGTATTCTTAATCATAGGTTTGCTGAATACAATTCTTCTGTGAACTTTTCACATTTGTTTAGGGGGAAGAGGCTTCAGACATGATATTTCTGCCTTTGTGGCAGATCTAACAATCCTATAGGGACCCAGAATTCTTGGGGTCAAAACTATTAACAGCCATGGAAAACCCCACTGAGAGAAATTCCCAATGAGCCTGAAACTCTCTCTGAATTTTGTCTTAGCTGAGAACTCAGTGGGTATTTCCCTTCTTCCTTATTTATTTTTCTAATTTCCTTTCTAGGTAGGTTTTGTATGGGAACTCAATGGGTGCCAATAACAAGGAGGCAAGTTAACAGCTCCCCACTTTGCTAAATCACGTCATCCGCTGAGCAAATGGGAAGCGATTGGAAAGATCTAATCAGTTCTTTCATGGCCAACAGAGCCCATAATTTATGATGTCTAGTGTACCACACATCCGCAGGCCTAAAACTCAGACTTGCCTTTTACTTATTTTTTTCCTTTTCATTGAAGCGTATATTAAACCCAGTAAAAATACACAAATCTTAAGTTACAGCGTGATACCTTTTTGCATCTATACCCACCTGTTTAACAAGCACCCAGACCAGACTTAGAATATTCCCATCACCCCAGAACATTCCCATGTGCTCTCTTCTCAGTCAAGAACCTTCAAAAGTAACCACCACTGCTTTATTTAAAAGCTATCTTTTAATTTAAAAACATGAGTTTGGGGGAAAGAACGAGACGATATTATTTTGTACAGAGATGCAGAAATTGCACCAAATAATACACATACAACATATACTAAAATGTGAACTATTTTTATCCCCTTTACTCTGGTTCTCCATCTTTTTTTGGGGGGGGGTCTCACAGAATTAAGTATTTTTATTGAAAGTCAGATTTTTTGCTAGCAGACAATGCCTACAGCATGTCAGATTTGCTCTCCTCTTCCTCACCATCTAAAATATTAAGGCCATTGCGTGTGAAGGCAGTGAGCTGAGGCCACCCATCTTCCATTTGGCTTTTCTTAAAGAACTCATTCCCTGAAGCATTGTCGCGCATCTCCCACTGTCACTGTGGCGACATGCATGCATTCAGGGAGCCCCTGCTCCTGTTTGCACAAGGGAAGGAATAAAGTTCCCTTATAGAGGCCCTACTTCTTTATAGAGAGTAAGAAGGCTGAGTGAACATTTTGATTTTAAAGGCAAAAGGATAAGACAAAGCACAGGAAGTCAGCTTCCACCCAAATCTCCCTCGCCTTCCTTACTACTCTCCTATTCATTTCACCTTGCCATCAAACCAGCTCTTGGGTTTATGCCTTATTTAAAGTTTAAAACAATGATAGATGCAGACATTGTAAACTGAGTTAATGTTATACTTTTTAAAATCAGATATATTTTTAAATTTACTTATTTCTCTCCTACGCAAGGTTCTTCCCTTATGCAAGAACCACAAAGGCTACAACTGTCTCTTTTTCACCATCTAAAATAATGCCTTCAACAGATGAGGTATTCAATAAATATTTGTTGAGCAAATGAATGAATCTTCGTCCTCAAGCTCTGTGGGAGAACGTAAGGCTTTTATTCAGCAGAAATGGGAAAGGACAGAGGATTTAGAAGAGAAGAAGGGTCATCTGAGCCCACGGGGTGTTGCCAAATTCCCAGACTGGCAAAAGAAGCCTGAAAGCTGGCCTGGCCCTTTCTGTAAGTTGCTAGCATTTCTAGTGGGAACTAGAAATAAGGCAAATCAAGCTGAAAGAAAGCCCGGAAGCCCTGTCCACCTGTCCTTGAGCCTTGCTCAGGTAGCTGGGTCCACGGCCAGGACTGTTCTCCTATTGCTAGAAGCATGCGAACTGATCACTTAACTTTATAACGTCATGGCGGACAGGAGGTTCCTTGACTCACAAAGCAACTACTCGTTCATAGGCACTCAGTATTAGAAGTGGAAGTCCATTCCCAGCAAAAGATTCTTGAGGGAAAAAAAGCCACTTGAAGAGAAAACGAATTTTCAGGTGGAATTACAAATTGTCATTAGGGATCTTCCTGCTTAAAGCAAAGATTGCCAACATCCTCTTTTGAGAGAGTGAATTCTGACGGTTATAGTAGTCTGTCTTGTTTGGAAAGGAGGGGTAAGGGGATGCTTCTGTGTTTCAGGAAAAGCAAGAGTCTCAGGTATATTGCTGCTGTTCCTCTGTCAGAGACCATGCTTAGCACACTCTGTGTAGCACACTGCAAACCCTAGTAGTACACAGAAATATCAGAGGGGACAGAACCTGTGGTGTTCTTTTAGGATCAAAATACTTAATAAGGAAAGATAAGAATTCAAGTGATGTCGATAGTATTGATCATCATTCTCTGAGCACCTGCTGTAGGTCAGGTGCTCTCATTATTTTGCAGTCATGGAGTACCATCCCACGAGGCACAGAGCATTCCCTGTCTTTGAGATAAGCACAGTGGAGCTCAGAGAGGTTAAGCCGTTTTCCCAAAGTCACAAAACCAGTAAGCAACCAAAGTTAGATTTGAACCCAACTTTAATTGATGTCAAAGTTTATTTATTATTTTCCACTCTACCACATTTCCTCCTTAGAAAAAGAATCTGTTATCATCCTCTTTTGCCTGTGAAGCTAGCAGAATAGGTTGTAGACCTTTCATTTTTTCTGCAGGCATCCAGGCTTCCCATGACTTTTCCTTTTAAAAACTCCTCCAGCCTCTCCTGGCCACCTCACAGAG